CGTAACCATCAGTACACCTCTGCATCATATCAAAGCGCATGCACGACCTAATTTGCCCTTTAAGAAAATAAGAAATGGTCACCACTCATCAGTGGGTTGTTTTCTCTTTTCAAAAGAAGCGAAAAAGAGGTTCATTTAATTTCATCGGTATACAAATCGAGTACATGCCACGAGTGTGTGTTCCATATTTTATCTTTATTATATTAGTTTCATTTGGATACAAAACTATATATAATTATATCTTCGCCACGCCGTACTGGCCTGATTAGTTCAAGAGGTTGACCATCGTATCGCTGACTTCTTCTTTTATTTATGTATTTATGCATTTGTTTTTTAACAAACGATTATTCTAAAGACACATGCATGTACAACATGTGTGGCTTTATATAAACTTATTGGCTCCAGTATATCGACAAAATCACAAAATCTGAAGCAGAACAACGCCGGTGAGCTGCCGTTTTCATCGTGAGATCACTTGAGTGATCTGAGATATATCCCATTTTAATTGTTGTCCTTCTTCAAGCTTAAACAGAAACTTATTTCATTTCTGGATTAAAAGTGAAAACATATCTAATATTGTAGGCGCGCAGAGTTTTTAAAACACCAAAAAGAATAAATTTATTTTGACAATATTATGGTTTTAAAAACTATAAGGTTTGTTCCATCCAAACACCTAGAAGATTTTGAAAACCAAATTTTTCTGCACAATCGAAGGCTATGTCTAATACTTCAAAAATGCATTGCAACCAAACAAGGTCTGAATGTCCTATTTGTGACTAAATGGAGAACAACACATTGTTCATGCTCGATCAAATACATATAAAACTACATTATACCAAGAGCCCATTTGAAATACAAGAAATACATAGGAAAAACGTTAGATTAGATTAAAACAAAAAACATGTTCGAAGAAGCTTGCGGTACGCGGTGTGTGGCGAGGAAGCATATATCATCATCGGTACACGTGGTGACATTGGGTTGTCGAGGACGTCGGTGGGTGTGAGAGATCATCAAGCGCGACATTGTGGACGCCGGGACATGTCTCCTTTGTACCTCTTTTCCGGTAGCTAAAATTAATGTGAAAACCTTCCCACGGTGGGCTTGTGAAAGGTGAGAGATCAGGGGCGTGAATAGCATGGATCTACGACACACTTGTGGACGACACTTTCTCCCGGAGGCGTGCTCTTTGTAAAATGTAAGCCACCTACACAATTCTATTTTCGAATTTTGTATGTCTACACAAAACCTTTAGCTAAATTAGTGTGCTCTCAAAGACTAACTAAAGGCAACACTAATCAAACAAACAATCACAACTAGTACACTAAAGAGCTTGATAACTAGTTTTATGTAATGTAAGAGTGAGCAAGAGAGTTATACCGTCGTGTAGTGGTAGGAACCAATCAATCACAATAATGAATACCAATGTAGACCAATTCTTCTTGTAGGCACCTCGGAATCAAATGATGAACACAATGATTTTTATCGAGCCTTTTTCAAACCCTCAATAGCACAACCAACACAAGATGAGGCTTTTGTTGGTGGTGGTGAACCCCTCACAATCATCGTCGAGTCGGAGACAATCAGTTTGTTTCGCCAAGCTCTAAGTTGGCAACCACCAAGAGTAACAAGCTTAAATCCAGCGAAACACAATAGTTGCCTCTAGATGGGTGTCAAGCAATGCATGAGTTGTTTTAGTTGATTTTGAATCTATGATTAGATGAGTGGGATTTTTTTTTTATCACAAGTTGGTTTAGAAATGGTCAAAAGTGAGAGCTTGAGGTGTGACTAAGTCAACCAAATAGAAGTCATATACCCCTTCGCAAAAGTTGTTTGGGGGACCGTCCGGTCCAGTGATGCACGTGTCATTTTATAGTTGGTCCGGATTTTAACGGCTAAGTATTTCACTCAAAAAATTTTTCTTCGACCGGACGTCGCTCGTCCACCTCGACCGGACTCGGCCCGTCCGTCCGTACACTTGCCTTTTTTTTTTCTTCGATCTAATAAAAAATGGCCGACCAAAGCTTTTTACCATCACTAAAAAACTACCCTATCTTATCAATTTGTAAAGTGCTTGAAACAAAAACCATCCAAATATGATGTTAATTAGTGTTTTTTTTGAGAAAACAGGAGGGATCGAAGGCTGATCCCTACTTGAATATATCAAAATAACTAGAAAGAAAGCAATGCAATGAGTTAACAAGGTTACAAATTAAAAGTTTCACCCCTCATGGGAAGAGATTTAAATGTGACACAAAGTGTCTTGAAAAAACAAAAAGATGAGGCAAATTACCTTTGCCTTGAGCCTTTTTGTTTTTCTCTTTCTTCTCAAGTAGCCATCAGGGAAATGCCAAAGGAAGATGATCTTTTTGCTTCACCACTTGGAGTGTGCTACCTATCTCATGATCACTTGAAGAATAACTAGGTATCCAATTTTCCACTTCATCGAATATCCATAATATTGCCACACGTGTCGATATCTCTAAGCTCAGAGCTAGTTGGGTTTAGGGTGTCATCATGATAGTTGTTTTGCTAGTTAAAATATTTCAAATTTGAATTTTGATCAAAGACAGTGATATAGCCGGTTTCCGAGAAACTTGTCATTTATTAACTAATAAAAATGGCAAATAAACTCCAAGAGTAAACTACCATCACTAAAAAACTACCCTATCTTATCAATTTGTAAAGTGCTTGAAACAAAAACCATCAAAATATGATGTTAATTAGTGTTTTTTGTGAGGAACAAAGATCAAGGTGATCCCTAAAAGTATCCTCCAACAACTTTACAAATTAAAAGAAATGGGAAGAGATTTAGGACACAAAAAAAAATCTAAATGATAGATTACCATCTTCATAGGGAAATGAAAGAAGATATTATTTTCTTCGCATGAAGAATAACTAGGTATCCAATTTTCCACTTCATCGAATATCCATAATATTGCCATACTGATATCCTAGCTCAGTATCATATAGAAAATATTTCAAATTTGAATTTTGATCAAAGATATAGCCTAGAAACCTAAGAGCAACTCCAAGAGACTCTCTAAATCCTTACTAAATGTGAGGAATAAAGATTTTGGTGAAAAAGTATCCCCAACAACTTTGTCTAAATGGTTATCTAAATATAGACATCTTCTATTCTGGATTTCTCGCTAGCCAAAAATAGAAAAAGAGAATGACTCTCTAGAGTGCGCATGAGATATAGAAAAACTGTTAGAGAGTGAAAAGATATAGAAAGCGAATTTTATGCAAATGGCTCTCCAAGTAATAATTTAGAGAGTGAGATTTAAAAAAGCTCTTGAAGATACTCTAAAGTGATAGGCTACATAGAGTAGTTATTTTAGATGCACACTAGATCCATTGACGTTCATCCAGAAAACAAAAAGGACATGTATACTAGGTCACGAGTACAAGGGGCGTGGGTGTGTGGTATTTGTCATACACGCAAATCTTGTTTACAATATGTTGTTCCACGTTATTATAGCAAAATAGGTTGAATATACGTGTGTGTGTTTTTTTAAGAAAACCTCAAGGATCAAACAACCACAACAAAACTAGGCTAAAACAACCCAGATAATAAATTGTTGGATTGGGACCTCAATACGTAGCACACGCCATAAGAATTATCAATAAGATAGATCCAACTAACTGCATACACTTCGCCTCACGATATCACGTATATTGTTATACTGTTCTCCGGAAAAACTATGTGTTTGCATAGGCTTATGTCCAGCTTGAACACCTTATTTGCGACTAGTCAGATATAATTTCATCTATGGTTTTTCTTGGAAATACGTAGAACGACCTATGTTGAAAAAACTTCATAGAAAAGCCTCGTACTAAAATACACACTATAGCTAGTCTTAAACATGACTATCATGTTGCCGGGAGCTAAATGCCAAAATTAGCAGTAATCGCAGTGTGGTCTCGGCGATAGCTGTGGCATTCCATTTTGCCGTTTTCCATGAGGCAGCCGCCGGTCGCCAGCGAAGCAGCGCAGAGCCCCCCTGGACTGGACGTTTGACTTCCCCGGCTCACCCGTCACATGCAGAGGAACTGAGGAAGAGGGCAGTCCATCCTCAACCATCCCCACCATTAATCCAATCCCTCCCCTCTCTACTCTTAATTTTCTTAATTAAATCCACCCTCCTCTTAATGGCCTCCCTCTTTTTCGTCGCCCCACTCCACCTTTAATTCCAAACACTGCAACCCCTTCTTCTCCTTCCCCTTCTCCTCCTCCTCCCCTCCCTCCCTTTGCTTCCCCTTTACTCCCTCCCTCTCTCTCTCTCTAGACCCTCCCTCTCTCTTCATGTGCGCAGGTGCGCGCCGTGCTCGGCTTTCCGGCTTCTCCTCTTTCGGCAAGGAGCAAAGGCCGCTCGCCCTTGTCCAGGCTCCGCATTCCGGCGTCACTGCGCGCAAGCAAGAACAGTGAGGCGCCTGCCTGGCTTCTCCGGTTCTGACTGAGGGGGCGCGGAGGGGAGCTCGTCATGGAGTTCTCGTTCAATGGGGTTTGATGCGAGGTGCTGTGCCGAGGTAATTTCCTCTCGCTGTGCTCCGTCTCTCGTTTAGGTGTCGACTTGTCCTGTGCCCTCAGAATTCTGCCGAGTCTTCTTATGGTGCGTTCTGATGTCGACAGGGCCCCTAATTCCTGCACATTGTCCGGATTTTGTTCTTTCGAATTCCCTGTATATATGTTGGCATGTTGCGTTCGATGTTCAGCTGTGTGATTAGTTTCCTTGCTTGCGCGCTTCCTCCCCCCTCACATGGATGTAGAACTGTGCTCTCTGACGATGCGTAGCTTTCTTCCGGAGACAAAATTGCCCTTTCCTCGCTCATGTGCAACTTTAGGTTCCTGAGTTGGCTAATGTACCTTTTCCCTTTCTTGCGCAGGTAAAGCGGTTGGGATAAGTTTGTAAATTGCTTTGTCAAATCAGGACAAGATTCTGAATTAGGGGGGAACCTATCGCATAGTTTCAGTTTGTTCATCAGACAGGCCGAAGGATATGTCATCACCTAACAACTCTGTCAGCGCGGCGCTGTCAGAGACGACCCCCGTGTTTCAGTTGAGAGTATGGCAGTTGATTGCCATTGCCGTTGGGATAGTCATGGCGATCCTGCTCGTCGTCGCGCTGTGCCTTTCGTTCCGGAGGAAAAAGAAGACAGTGAAAGGGTTTGACAACACTTCGCTGGCTGAGATCCCTATCTTTTCTAAGGAAATCATTGTTGACAGAGTTGATGCGCAGAGTCTACGTGACGGTGAAGCGCCCTTCATGCCGGTGCAGGATAAATATACGCCGACCAAAGGTGCGGGGCAGTTGGGAGAGAGCAGATCCGTCGATGTCGATACGTTCAGCCAGTGCAGCTCAGTTTACAACGTAGAGAAGGCTGGGAGCTCAGTGTACTCTGAAGATTACAGTTACAGCAGCTCTGGTCCAGCTAGGAAAGGTAGCTCACCGTATGCATATTCAGCGTCACTGCTGGTTGGCCTGCCTGAGTTATCACATTTGGGCTGGGGCCACTGGTTTACCTTGAGGGACCTGGAGTGCGCAACGAATCGGTTTGCAAAGAGTAATGTTCTTGGGGAGGGTGGCTATGGAGTTGTCTACAAGGGCCGCCTGGTGAATGGGACTGAGATTGCCGTGAAGAAGATCCTTAATAATGTGTAAGTGTACAGTCTTGCTGAGTTTACCTTGTATTAACTTAGAGCTAAGATTTGATATCTGAGTTTGCAGGGGACAGGCAGAGAAGGAATTTAGGGTTGAAGTTGAAGCCATTGGTCATGTTCGGCATAAGAATCTGGTCCGCCTTCTGGGATACTGTGTGGAAGGGATACATAGGTTAGCATTTTGTCCTTTTGGTTCCTTCTTTCTGCTAAGTTTATTACATTGATAATGAAAGATCATAAAACCTGCTAGGACCAGCATATATGCTTCAACTTCTACAAGTTCATCATGATAATTATGTCCTGAAGATTCACAGTGGAATAAGTGGTCAATACCATAAAAAGAAGTTATTTTTCCCAGTTGTACCCAATGCTAGTTTGAGCTTTCCCTTTTTTCCCCTTTTCATTGTTTCATGTTTATTAGTATTTCTGGCCGAAAAAAGCTATTTCATGGTTCAAACTATAGTAATAATAATTTTTTAGCAAAAACTTTTATTGCATATGGACTTGTTCTGAATATTTACTTTCAGGATGCTTGTCTACGAGTATGTCAATAATGGCAACCTAGAACAATGGCTTCATGGCATGAATCAACACGGTGTCCTTAGTTGGGAAAACCGTATGAAAATTCTCCTTGGCACTGCAAAAGCGTAAGTTTGGAATTTGGACATGTTTCACTCTATTTCCTGAAACCTTGCTTAACATGGACTGTTGACTATTACATACTAATGCTGGTGTTCATGATTTGCAGTCTCGCGTACCTTCATGAGGCCATAGACCCCAAAGTTGTACACAGAGATATTAAGTCAAGTAATATCTTAATCGACGATGAATTCAACAGCAAGGTTTCTGATTTTGGGTTGGCTAAACTTCTGAATTCTGACAAAAGTCATATCAATACAAGAGTGATGGGAACATACGGGTATAGATCTGTTTTTATTATGTTCCTTTTCCTATTGTTAGCTCTTCTATTCATCTGGAAAACTGGAGAGAAGTTTCCTAATGTTCTTAATCTGATAACAGGTATGTAGCACCTGAATATGCAAACAGCGGGATGCTAAATGAAAAGAGTGATATTTACAGTTTCGGAGTGGTGTTGTTAGAATGTTTGACAGCTAGGGATCCAGTTGATTACACTAAGCCTGCAGATGAGGTACGAGTTTTCCCTGTTTCAGAGAATTGGTGTGATTGCATTTCCATTTACTTCTTAAACCTCATCTATTGTTTGTTTCAGGTGAATCTCATAGAGTGGCTTAAAATGATGGTTACCAGTAAGAGGGCAGAGGAGGTCGTGGATCCAAACCTCGAGATTAAGCCACCAAAACGTGCCCTTAAGCGGGCAATCTTGGTTGGCTTCAAGTGTGTCGATCCTGATGCTGACAAGAGGCCAAAGATGAGTCACGTTGTTCAGATGCTTGAAGCAGTTCAGAATGCATATCATCAAGTACTCATCTCAACCTAACATCTTTCTTTCTTGGTACTCTTGCTTTTTTATTAGCACAGATATGTATCCTTCTTGGATAATCTTTTAACATTAGCGCGTTTTTCTTATCAATCCAGGATCAAAGAAAGCTCAGCCAGGTAGGAAGCATGGATATCGAGTCACAGCAGTCACAAGAGGAGACTTCGAACGGTGCTGATGCCTGAACCTCCGATTCTGAACAAGCATATCAAATAGGACCCTGAATTCATCTGATAACAACATTGATTTGATCATTGCTCAGTACTTAATAGAGTGATTGGATCAGGTTTACAGTTTGCATATACTGGAGGTGGTGGTTAAAATCAATTAGTAGCAAGTTGTTCATTCCTGTTTTTTTTACCCCTGTTTCCGGGTGTGCTTCTATACTCCCCTAAAAGGTTCATCTCTTTTACCCTTAGGATATGTATAGTTTTCCTTTAGGGGAGCATAGAAGCACCTTCTTCATCTTTATTTGTCGGTTGAGTTACCAGGAGGGACTAACCTCAGGCATATGACTACAGTCACTGGATTTCGTTACCCATGTGTAGTGGCTTTATGGAAACTCGTCATTACCCTATATGAAAACATGAAATTCTTGCTGTGAAGTAGTAATAACATCTGAATGCTTATTTTTCTGACAATTTCACCCTGATCGAAGGTGTCTGCACAAGCAGATGACCGTCCTCGGAAACCGATTGGTTGATGTCAGTGGCTACCGAACTAATCATTTGAACGACTGAATATTGCATTCTGGACTGCTGAAATCCGGGGGCAGATGTTTGGCCCTGACACCTGGAAACCGATTGGTTTCTTGTTCCTGCAAATGAATGATTACAGGATCCCAATGATTGGTGCCTGCTTGTTTTACAAGTTTTGACACCTTCGATGCCCTTTATGAAGGACTTGAATCAATGATTGGCACCTTTGCAGCTGGTTCTGTTACTGAACCCGCACTCCTTGCACTTTCTTTTTGCTCGACACATCATTCGGTGAGTCTTGTGTTATAAGCATACGAAATTAACATTTGCTAACTGATGGACAGTGCTTCCATGAGTGTGCTTCACCGAATCATCTGACTGACTCGCAGTCTTATTGGGGTTTCTTTTCCTGAATCCTGACCACCAGATTTCTCCGACCAACCAATCATGCCGTGTCTACCGTTTGGAAACTACCGTTAAAGTCCCAATCGACAACTACCGTTAAAGTCTTCAGAAACAGATCTGGCGTTTGACGGACACTGGCACGGCGTTGAACGCCATGCTGCACGCAACGACTCAAAGAAATTACCATGGGCGCGATCTCAAGCAATAGAGGAAAGCCAACCTGGTGCTACAATTATATCCAACGCTTTGATGTCAAATTCCTCGATTACAATTCTTAGACACGTGTAAGTATACCATGTACCCGACTTCTCTTCAGTTCCAGTCTTTCAAACAAGACCTTGCACGTTAGCAAATAAATTTCCCATCTCAGGAAATACGAATGTACCCTTCATCAGAGGCCGCAGATGAGCTCGGTGGGGAGCCATGCCGGCTAAGACCTTCCCTGACCTTGCCATGCTGCTCTGCTTCATGCTGGAACATCGAAACCAGCTGCTGGAGCTCCAGCTTCCTCACCTTCACCTTCTCACTGTTAACTGGCTTTTGTAACCCAAGATACAGCATCCCCACGCCGATTAGGACGATCCCGATAAAGAAGAGAAGTCCCGCAAACAAACCAAAAGCATAGGGAGTATTCTGCGCTCCAGGTATGCCATCGACGTTGATTCCAAAAAGGCCAGTGATTATGGATAAAACCATGCCACAACCGCCAAAAATTGCCAAATTATGTGTAACACGGAGGCTTCTATCCTGCAAAAAGGCAAAAGTCAGCAATCCAGCCAATTTTCAAATCAACATTGCCACAAGAAATGCAAAAAAGCAAATGAGTCGTACCTGTAACCATGCGCGAACAGTGCTCTGCATAACATCCTGAATAGTGAACAAGCGCCCGCGCACAGCTTCCTGCTCTTCCAACATGTCCCTTGTACACTTTCTAATGCTCTCTAAAATAGCTCTTGTGGCATTACCCCTCAAATGTCTGAGAAGCTCAAGTAATATCTCTTCCCTTGCATGAAGTGACCATTTAACCCTGATTACCTACAGCAGTGATGTCTATGTTCTTATACATTTCAGCTCATCAAATATGACCAGACGAATAATAACATGCAAAAAAGCTGTGTGCAAAAACCTTAGACCTTCATCGTGGTCTACAAAAGGATATGGATGCTTAATCTGTGAATTATACATTCAGATTGTTATGACTAGGCCTTGCGCCAATCCAGCGACGCAGCAGCTGTGCATACGGTGAGGCAGCAATTTACTTGTGTTGCAATTAGTTTGTTAGCTTGTTAGCATCATCCATTGGTTAGCTAGCTAGCTAGTTATTCATTAGTTAGCCTTATCTCGTAGCTGTTTCTAGTTTGTTAGTTTCAATGGTTCAGTTGGTAACAATTAAAGGATGAGCTCTACCCTGTAATCGGCAAACAAGAAGCAGAAGAAACCTTAAAAGCAGTCAGAGCCTCTAGACACGACTTCTTTCTGCTATCCCATCCATTCCTAGTCAATCCATATCACTAATAGTGACAAAACACCCACAAAAGACAACAAAAGGACTGATAACACAGGCAGAGACAAAGGAACATGTACGGAAATGCATAATTTCAACATTTCAACAGAGCAACCAGGATTTGGCTATTGACTCAATATAAGGACATTTTTTGTTTCAAACAAAAGGGACACTTTCAGATTTGACACCAATGTTATGACTAGGGAGTAGGGATCAATCAGTCTGAATGATGCAACTGAGCCATGCCATGATAGATATGAGAACCTTTGAGCCACTCTCCAAAACTGTCATAGAGTGAGTATTTTTATGGTCAATGAAATGATGAAATACATCTGATGCTGCCAATAAAGAAAATAATACTAATGGACTAGTACTTCATTTAATCCTAAATATACCATTTTTAACTTTGACTATCAATATCTAAAAATTTATATAGATTTTTTCTGAGGAACTACTGTAAGCTTACGCCGATCTGAACTTGTATAAAAATCGAGAAGATTTAAGCATGCATTATTTTGTGAAGCAAGAGAAGAAAAGAAGACTACATCAGTCTTAGGCTGTTACAGATCCTAGCTTCACTCCAGAGATGCAGAAGGCCCTTGTGCTATAAATTGGATGATCAGTATAGCCCTGTAGACCAGATATAGCCCTGAAAAATCTTGGCATTTATATAGATTGATAACACCAGGTCGACATTCTAGATTCATTATGAAAATACTTTCATAATATATAACTCTTTTCAAATAAAAAAGTATACGTATGTTTGGGTCACTGCCCACCTCTTAATAAAATACACGCAAAGTGCATTCTCGAGAAAATATAATAAAGTATATTTTCATAGATACTGCTAGTCAAAGTTAGAAGAGTTTGACTTAGGATAGACCTAGATGGACTTATATTTTTTATCATAGGAAGTAGTCAATTACTGTTAATTAATGTGCAATTCCATAGGAGCAGCCCAATGTATCAAATCCAATTTTCTAATATTGTTTAAAAAATAGTAGTCACATCACGTCAACCAGTCTAGTAAATTTGGAAATGAGAAGATTTTCAATATGCATTTATTGGTAGAAACAAGCATTGGACAAAAAGGGGATCAGTATTGCATGCTTACCTGAGTTGCTAACCTTCTGATTTCCTGATTTAGTATGATGCTGACAAGATTAAGATCTTCACGATTTCTCCTATAAATTTGATATTTTAAACATGTAATACACATTCAATAGAAGCTTCCTTACTTAAAATGTGACGAAAATCAGTTCATTTAGAACATTAGCAGTTTAGAACATCAGCTAAAAGCCTAAAACAAAATGTTCTGTCAGTAGAGACGTGCCTGCACAGTGCTCTTACCTATTCACAAATTTCAATTCAATTTCGTCTGCTTCCCCAAATACATATTTCCGGAATAATCTGGAATAACAATGTAACAGCAATTTTTAGTAATTTTGTTGCAGGACACAAATATTTAGCTATAATAACATATCATAAGGAATAGAGTTCTGCTACCTACTGTTACAAGGCCAATTGAAAAAAATCAATGGCGGCAGATGAAAAGGAAATAGAGATTGAAACTCTCACCTGTCATCCCAACGTGAAAGACGGCTGATCAAATGTGCAATTACTTCATGCACTGATCTAGGTGTTTGGCTTCCACCAGCAAGAAGCAACTCCTGGACAGATTTTCGTAAGCATGTATTAACTAGCAAGCTTAAACACTAAACACTCCGAGTTTGGTACCTGCACTTCAGTCACTCCTAACACATTTATATTGGATGAAGGGCCTTTGACATGCATTGTTGTAACAAGAAAATTTTGTGCTTGCCAAGACCTAAGCACAATAGGTATATCTTCCTCTTCATGATTTGGATCTCCGATTGACTGACCAAGAAGCTCAAATAACAGTCCTCCTGCAACTCTAACTGGGACCTGAAAAGCTAACAGAAAATTATAATAAATATGATATGACAACACATTAATACCGAGTCAGCTAATACATTGAACTGTTAGAACATTTTCTTCTAACACTGACATGTGACGCAAGAGATAAATATACTACAAAATGGTCAGCACTCAGCACCATTGTGGATTCATGGTTCAAAAATAATAATATGGGTATCTGTTTCTAGAAAACATAGAAATAAAAATTATTGGACTAAAACTACCTTTTTCAGTTAATCTACACTAAGTATGAAGCGAAGAGATACACAAAGGTAGAAAACTATTTGGTGATGTTTTTACAAATATATACTACACAGCCACACCGGCACACAGCAGATCCACTACTTGGATTGGAGAGCATATTATGTTGTTAAGTCAAAGCTGATTTAAACACTCAATTAGGGTGTATGTGATGCTTATGCCACCACAAACTCCACAGTGAAATGGTCAATCACACATTAGCATATGAAAAATATGGTAACACAGAATATTAATAGAGAATCCTCCTGGGCATGAACAGTTAGCGATATGTACATTAAGAGTAGTTATTGCAATTTACAACATGAATACAGTCTATTTCTTGTTTGTTCAAGAGATATATAGCCATATAGAGGGACTAGGTTAAAAAAAAAACTCAGTAGCTACTGCTATGGGAACCTTCAGACATGGAGCTAAAATCATACTGAAGGACATTGACTAATTTGCATAAAAGCAATGTGAAGTTGAAGAGCACATGTACTTACATCAAGTAGAAATTACAAGGAGAGATAATTGTATGCACTCCAGATTCAGGGTATCGAATTACGAAACAGTAAAGAGCTGATGATGGTTTTATAGGTATCTTAATTGTTAAACAGATGAGAATCAGAGAGAAAACCTCGTAGAGAAGGTACTTCATCCGGTCACTTATCAGTTTGCTCTCATCTCTCAGTGCAGTTCTGATGGCAGGATGCATCCAGTGAGCGCTATTCAACCATGCATCGATTGAAGGATGGCCTGCGGTTACATGACACCACCAAGTAGGGCCCACAGGATGCTGCCAGTATGGAGCTGCCAGATCAGCCACAGTGTAGTCATCCTCACTATCACTCATCTCCATCAACTCATTCTCCCAGCTGGAGTCTGATTGAACCCTGAGGACCAGCTCAGCGATCCTACTCCATCCGATGGGCACCCATTTATGATCCAAAATCTCCCCAGCATACAGTGACCTATCTTTGAGTACTGAAGGATCATTACTGAAATCAGTCTGATGGGGGTTTTCCAACACAATGCTCTCATCCGCTTTCGGCGCAGTGATCTGGTGCCCATTCCTTCTTGAGTGCTTCCTTGTGTACATTGTGGGGCCTTTCTCCTGCATCTGCTCAATTGCTGGCCATGATTTGTGCTGAACAGGCTTCCTATGACTCTTGACCAGCTCGAAAGCACAGATGAGCCCATCCGTCCAGAGCTCGCTCCCTAGAATGGGCTCTTTCCCCAGACCGGGCTTGGTAACACCATCTAGCGTCTTGGACATGCTGCTGACCTGAGGCGGCTGCTGCTCCTCTACAGCATTCATCTTCCCATCAAATTCTATCTACCTGTGAATGGATAAAAGATATTTAAACTCGTTAGAAAATTTAGTGGGTACTGAATACTGATTACTGAATATGAGTATATGACTCATCTCTTCAAACATGGGCTAATTTATTGAGGAACTGGATTCAAAGGTCCAAACAACTGTTCCAGGGAATTCTGGACGAAGTAGCAAACGTTCATGGGAGCAACATTACAACAGGGCCGTATTATTGTACATTAAACATTAAAATCACAACTTTACAATCAGCTAACGATACTTATGATGGCAAAACGTAGTAGGATAGATTTTCCTAGATGAGCAGAAATGCATAATACGAATTAGAAGAGGTATCATGATTTGTAACGAGAATTCAAGCAAATCAAGGCTATAAGCCTACAGCTAAACGCGGGATTCGGGAAACAGCGCCGGCAACAAAACCTAACGCCAGTGCCGGGGGCAAACCTTTCCTGAAGTCGCTGGCAGACCCCAGCCACCGCACGCTACGTTCTGAGCACGCAAGAATACAGTGAACTATAGCTTCGCTGACGAGAGTAGCAAAAGAAATTTTCGAGCGAGCCAGTTGGAAGGATTAAGGAAGAAGCTGGCGGTGGCGGAGGCGCCGCTTCCAGCTCCAGGTTGGTGGACACCTGTCTCCTACCGAAGAAGGTATGCACGAGAGAGACGGTGGAGCCGGCATCCAGCGAATTTTCTTCCCGGCCGTGGCGGACCGGCGGTGATCGCCTGATCGGGAGCCCTTTGAGTCATCTCTCGTGTCAACATCTGTTCCACGTTGCGTCAAAAAAACGTCTGTTCCACGCGTTGGAAGCATACGGCGTAGGCCATGGGCGGCTGCATACCACCATCCATTCGTTACCTCCTGCCTGCCAATGCGTGTGCCGCCGACCCAGCGGGCGGTGCCCACCTTTGTGGGCGACCTCCGTAAACGTACTAGCTCTCCGTTGTATCCGTTCACCGCGCACGGATGTTCACCAGGTCAACAGTCACAGGACTCCTTTGCATCATAGTTTAGCCCGTACTAGGGTATACTTTCAACTTTCTGCGCATTACAACATGAAAAAAATACTCTTTCTGTTCTAAATTATAAGTCCTTTGATTTTTTTTTCATCTATTTTACTATAGACATAATATTATATATAGATACATATAAAAAAAATACGGCTTATAATTTGAAACAGACGGAGAAGGATATTCTGCAGTGCAGGCCAAAGGTGCCGTAGGGTTGTCAGGCCCTGACAGACAAGCACATCAGTAAGCGAATTTTGACTGGGGCCTTGTTTAGTTTACATCAAAATTCCAAGCAGTGCATCACCAAAGGTGCATGGAGCATTAAATGTAGGTAAAAAAAAATAACTAATTGCACAGTTTAGTTGGAAATCCGAGATGAATCTTTTGAGCTGTCCACAACAGACAATATTTACCAAATAAGGCGAAAAAAACATCTATTCATAGGTTGCAAATTTTGCAATCTAAACATGGCCTGGGTGAGCGCCTTGAACAGACCATAAACTATTCACAGATTCTGTTGATTAGAAGTCAGTTAATTGCGATGTCTCGTTTGATGAGCCCCCACGTGTACTCTATTTCTTACACCTTGCTGCAGCACAGCTGCAGAGGCCACCAGCAACATGCTCGCCCTGTACTGTAGAGGTTGTATCAACACTCGGATACGCCGACACCGCGACACGCGCCTTACGGTATCAGCAGCCATGGAGATTGGAGAGAGACTTCAGGCCTAAGGCGGGGTATCAGCTCCGTTCCATATCATTCTACAATATTAGGTCATCTGACCCTGCAATGTGCAAAAGAGAGGTTTTGAACCACCCAAAAAGCATGCAAGGACTCAGAAGCAAGGGGCAAAACCATACACCATTTCTGCAGTTGCGACCTTGAACATAATAATATGAGAAGACGTCGCTCCGTGAACAACTAATGCCTTGCTCTTTGTTTGTTATTGTTGTTGTTGTTCTTTGGATAGTCCATTGTATGCAGAGCAGTAAGAACCAACTATGCAGCAGTAAATAAAAGCTTCTTACCGTGAGAGAACCTTCAGAATATAATGCTTCATTGAAATCTGCCACAAAGGTCTGTCAGCTTAATTCTTTAATTCGGCAACGTGAAAGGTAATCTCTGGCTTCATTGAAATCTATCACAAAAGGAAAATCAGCAAACGGGAATAACATTGCAGAATTCAATTGCCACAAAAGAAATCTGGTGTTTTCTTAGAGTACCAGGAAGACGGTTGTAATCCGGTTCTATTCCATTCCCATTGATATCCTTGTGGTTTGGTGTCACGTACTTGCCAACTGTGACGACAATACCAGAACCATCATGAAGTTCAAACACAGATTGGATTAAGCCCTGCATCATCCCAGACATTGAGTTACCATACCAAAAAGGGCATTGATGTAATCCTGTTGATCACAGAAAAAAACAACCATCGCAGCATCTCCCCTTTTGGGTGGTTCAAACCTTGCCAAAAGTCCTTTCGCCAACAAGAACAGCTTTGCAATTGTCATGAAGTGCTGAAGCAACCTAAAAAATTATTGGTGCGTGAGCTTTGGCTACATGCCATTTCATTACTATCAGTGGACAAAAATGTGTACTTACTATTTCACTGGCGCTTGCTGTCCTATTATTCACCAGCAACTGTCACAAGATGTAGATAAACATATGAGAAATACAATCCGGAGTCTAATCTTAATCTGATTATACAGCAGACATACATGTATGGCATGGTCCACAAAAAATATTAGAATTATATATTTTTTAACTAGAGGTTATGTTAGAGTACGTCAGGGGCCTATTGGGCCTGGGTTGGCTGTATATCCCATTAGTGTTAGGGTTAATTAGAGATAAGGATCGCTTACTTAGGGGTTAAGTAAGCCTTGCTTGGGAGTCAAGTAAACTCTCTATATAAGGAGAGTAGATGTATCGATCTAATCAAGCAAGAATTAAGAAGGAAATCCCTTCCCTCTTGCTCGGCCGTGGGCAGGGCCCCCGGCCGGCCTCCAGCCTCCCTCAAAGCCCTAGCCGTCACAATTATGGTCGTGAACAGTACCCGCTTCACTGTAGCGCCGCGGGTACTATAGCCCGACCGTTCACCGCCTCTCCCTCAACTCTCTCCCTCTCAATCCTAGCAGCTATATAACAATCTGGTATCAGAGATCTCTGGTTCGATCATGTCCAGCCCTCTACCGAGTTCTTCCGACCCGCCGCCGCCGCACACCCACCCGCCGCCACCAGCGTCTTCGTCGGCGCTGCTGCCCCACACAGCAAGCGCGCCGGCATTGGGCGCGTTGGCGTCCTCAGGGGCGATTGCGCCCTCTGCCCCGGCGCCGTCCGCCCTCGTCCTCACCTCAGAGCAGATGACGGCCGCAATCCTGGAATTAGGGCAGGCCGTGGAGGGCATCACGGCCTTCCTCGCCTCGCACTACGGCTGGCCAGGCTATGGGACGACAGTCGTCTCCATAACCGGCGCCAGCAGATCCCGATCCACGGCGAGAAGTTGCGGCAGATCGAGCGGCCGATGGACATCGCGATGACGTCGGGCGGGAAGATGCTTACCCGCCAGTGTGTCGGCTGCGGTGTGCGGCTGCGCAGTCGCTACGCGGCCTCCTAGCACGCGTCGGCGGGTGCGGGAGATGCGCGATCTGCGGTGATTCAGCCCGCACTCCTTCGCAGCTCCTCAAGTTGCGCATTGCGCTGGAGGACCTCGATCTCGCCCCCGTGCGTCGGGGATCTCGGGCATGCGGTTTCCCCCACGGGCGGCAGGCATGCTATTTTCCCTGCGGGCGGCGGTTGGGGAGGCGCATCCCTCCACCTCGTTCTCCATCGAAAGCCCTCCGCTCTTCTCTGTGCGGTGCAGACTAGCAGCCGTCTGGCGGGGAGAAGGCGTGGGGTCACCAGCGAGAGCACACCGCGTAGCGCCGTCGCATGGTCGCTGTTGCGACCACTTCCAGGTGGCCATACACATGTATCCCTTTCGTCTAGATGGTGTCCATGGGATCCAAGAGGCTGCTGTACACATACAGGTTTGGCATGCGAATGGTGTCCACCTTATGTTCAGGAGTCAAAAATAAATAGTCCCAGTCCATTTCAGGTTGAGAATAATAAAATAAGCCAAGATGTAAAAGGCTTGTTTTTATGTGTTAGGAGTCGAGTCAGCGTTATAAGTTCGTTAGGTTGCAGCTCGAGGACGAGCTGCATGTCCAGGTGGGGTGTAGTGTTAGAGTACGTCAGGGGCCTATTGGGCCTGGGTTGGCTGCATAGCCCATTAGTGTTAGGGTTAATTAGAGATAAGGGTCACTTACTTAAGGGTCAAGTAAGCCTTGCTTGGAAGTCAAGTAAACCTCTCTATATAAGGAGAGGAGATGTATCGATCTAATCAAGCAAGAATTAAGAAGGAAATCCCTTTCCTCTTACTCGGCCGTGGGCAGGGCCCCCGGCCGGCCTCCAGCCTCCCTCGCAGCCCTAGCCGTCACAATTATGGTCGTGAACAGTACCCGCTTCACTGTAGCTCCGCGGGTACTGTAGCCCGACCATTCACCACCTCTCCCTCAACTTTCTCCCTCTCAATCCTAGCAACCACATAACAATCTCCCAAGTAAGGCTTACTTGACCCTTAAGTAAGCGACCCTTATCTCTAATTAACCTTAACACTAATGGGCTATACAGTCAAACCAGACCCAATAGGCCCCTGACGTACTCTAGAACAGATAATCTGAATAGTACCATTTCTAAGACAAAGCAATCAAAAAGTGTAAAATCAGAAGAACCCAAATGCTCTAAACCTTGACGTTTCACTATGTCAAATTGAGTAAATAAGTGTAAAAAATCCATCAAAGTGGACTTAAAACAATTTTATTGTCACTAGGAGCATGTGCAAATGCAGCTCTTCACACTTTCTATTGAATAGTTTAACAGAACAGTGTAAAACTAGCATTTGCTTTCTCTATTTCTTAGAATTACTGCTTCTTGAAGCTTGAAATAGCTGTATCACCACAACATAAACATACCATAAGGGGAGTATCATTCATAGGTCCACTTTCAGCAACAATTGTGTTTTGGACTAGATGATCCCGGCCAGCAGTATAAATGACCTGAAGAACATAGACACATGAATAAAAGGGAAAAAAAAGTTCATTATATAAAGGACAAATAAACAATCAAATTGCTGAAGTATAACTTGTTAATACGCATAGGACAGATAATTGGATTTCAGAAAAGATTATATGGAAGCATATGACTTAACTATAGGCGAATATGCATGGACTATTTTTTTTCAGAAGTCAAGGATGGGAAATAAACAACAACAACAACAACAACAACAAAGCCTGTCAGTCACAAACAAGTTGAGGTAGGCTAGAGTTGAAACCCACCAAGAGCCCCTAGTCACGGTTTAGGCACTTCAATAGTTGCTTTCCAAGCACTCCTATTCAAACATAGATCTCTAAGTATATCCCAAGCTTTCAAATCTTTTTTTATTGCCTCCCCCCATGTCAATTTCGGTCTACCTCTACCTCTCCTCACATTATTAGCTTGGCTTAGGACTCCACAATGCACTGGTGCCTCTAGAGGTCTCCTTTGGACATGGTCAAACCACCTCAACCGATGTTGGACAAGTTTTTCTTCAATTGGTGCTACCCCTAGGCGGTCACGTATATCATCGTTCCAAACTCGGTCCATTCTCGTGTGACCACAAATCCATCGCAGCATACGCATTTCTGCAACACTCAATTGTTGAACAAGTCGAATCTTTGTAGGCCAACAAAAAGGTCCGAAGTTGAAGGGCCTTCTCATATTGTAGACTCTATTAGAGTAGCTGGGATAGTGGCCCCTTTTCAAAGCTGTCAACAAATTACAACTTCAAACTCGGATCCAACTTTAAAGCGGTGTCGGCATCAAAAAAGAAATACAGTGATTTATTGTTCCTAACTTCCAACCAAAATAAAAGGCATTTTTGCACTGTTACTGACTTCGATTTGGAGAAACTGACTAATTGTTCATGAGACTAAGGTTAAACAGATACTATTATTTGAAGGTTCATGGGATTTAAAAGAAATTTGAGGAAAAAAATGCACTGTTACTTTCACACATGTAAATTTAAAGAATGGTTACAGAAAGCCAGTTGGATATATGGCAGCATTACTGCATCCTTACCGTGTCTCCTTTATTCAGAAAGAGCTTTGCTATCTCGATTCCAGCCTTCAAAAGAAAGTAAAAATAAAGTAAAGTAAACATCATGCCATAAGCCCGTAGCAATACACAAAATAAGTCTCGTTATTTTCTTTCATGATGCAAAGCTTGTGAACAATGAATATAAAAAACTCAGACCAACCTTGGAGTGACTAGTTGGCATTGTAAAAAGACGAAATAGACACCCAAATTCAAGTCGAAGAGACTTGAACCTGGGTGGAGCTGTACACTTACACTCATGACTCATATGGTCATATACCTCCCATAGGCTCAGTTCCTTACCATCAAAGGAAAAAAAAACATGATACCTCTAGTCCTCCACACACATCATTGCAAGTCTAGCAGACCAAAGACAGGCATAGCATGATATATGATTGGGAAGAAAAGGGATGGCATACTTGCACTAGTCCACCAAGATTGTCCCTCAAATCCAGAACAAAATAGGAGGCACCTGAATTCTGTAGACGTTTTAGCGCTGCAACAGACAACATAAGTCAAATTGACATAGCACGCTATACCAAATTGTTATCATAAAAAAATATTTCTACAGTCAAGATTACTAATATTTCAATATAAAACAACACATGAATTTCAAAGATGCATAAAAGATAAATCAATATTTGAAATTTCTCGGATCTTGTTGTTGCTGTAATAAACTGATACATATATATATCTAAGCATAGACCTCTCAGTTTAGACATTAAAAAACTTGACCATAAGGAGAGACTTCCCCTTGGCTTTGTTAAGAGGTAAGACCATGCCCTTTAGGGAGGTACTCACTCTACCTGTGGACACCCGGGAGTATAGACATAAAAATTAGACTATATATAGCATATCAGGCACAAATCGACTAAACTACTGCATCCTGAATATGGAAAAGAAAGAAAAAGGCAGAAGATAAGGTCAACAAACCAGCAACACACCACTAACCAAATCTTTTTGGCCACTGCATTGAACTCTGTAATGTGAATATACCCAACAGATGAATCATCATTTTCTCTTTTCTCCAAACGATAGAAAACTGGAGTTCGAGCAACCAGTTGTCTCTGCACCTTCATTGACTCAACAGGACCACAGTCACCGTGCTTAACCTAGAGATAACATAAGAAAGACCACAATAGTCAGATAATGGGTTAAGAGAGATCCTGATTCCTTACGTAATCCAGAAAACATAATTTATTTAGATTGTCCATTACCTTAATCGTAACAAACGTCTCCTTTGGACCTTGCAGCATGGATGAAGCATCAAATGCAAATTTACCCCTTACATCAACGCCGTTGACTGATAAAAGCTCATCACCCTGATAATTGATCAAATAACTTAAACAATTACTTAAACTGTGCACCTTATCCAAACATAAGAAGTGTATCATTAATTAACCCACACATGTATAGAATCAAAGATCAGAAAAACAGACACATCCAAAGATCTGTACCTACTACATTATTGGCCAGTCCAAGCAACCAGACTCAAATATACCAAACAAGAGTGCCCTGTGATAATAATATCATCAATAACAAACTACTAAAAAACTGCATGTCCAAACTAAAAGTCAAGAGCAGTAGAAACAAAATTGCCCCAAAGCTTCTAAGTTGCAAAACTTGTAAGCAGTGAACAAAAACAACGTGAGCTGAAATTATTCGCTGTATCTCATTCAACTCCTTGGAACCTACTTCGATATAGACAAGGTTCGTCCTTTCTAGCTTCAGTACTAATCTTTTTTTAACATAATTTAGAGGCAGGCATGTGCACATATTCTTTAATTAGTTGGACACCTTAAGTGGGAGTGTAGTCGAATGCTGCACATATCCAACTATATTAATTCTAAATGAAATATACAATTTATTTTAGTATATATGAAGTTTGAGTCCTCACTATGTCAACATATTACATCAAGGTTCATTAGAACAATTACAGAACAAACAAATGTTACTAGTAGTATATCGATAGTGGTGAAAGCAATTTTCTCATCAGAAAGTACAGAACAAACCTGTCTAACACCGGCAGAGTAAGCAGGCCCGTCTAACAGCAGCCCTAATACCATCAACTTAAAAGAACCATTGTCATCAGGAATCTCCCGCAGGTTTAATCCAATTCCCGTCATGTCATATTTTGACATCTTTGAGAACTTCAGCAGATTGATTACACATATGCAAAATAGTATCAAAACTGCAACAGTTAGAACATGTATCCACAACAAATGTCCGAGAACAGTAAAATGAAAGGTATTGACACCATTTTGTCTGTGAAAGCAAAGAAACTAAGGATATGGCATAGCAGGATAACTACATTGTTTAAAGAGGGGTTAAAGTAAGTACTAAGTAACCCAGAGGGTTTACCAATCATTCCCACATGCAACCGTTTGCCCAATTCAAAAGAAAATCAATTATTTCTATGCTATACCTGATGGCCAACTTTCCTTTTCAAAAGACTGTCAACATCAATTTTAGAACTCATAATTGACCATGTCAGCAAGCATGTACAACAAGAAGATCACGAGAAAGAAAGAAATGCATTAATGCAAATAAGATCAATACATTGAACAGGAAAAATGCTGAGCTCGTATAACTAGCAGCGTGACAAGAATCTTAAAAAAAAACTAGCAGCGTGACAGTGGTGACACTTGTGAAAAACTTACTTCTGAGGGAGATAGAAACCGAGTATAAGGGTCACCAAGGCTCGCTAGCATCTTCTGAATGATATCATGGGCTCTAGCACGGGATTTAATTGTGCCTTGGAGAACATCCTGCTTCCTTTGCTGCAGTGGATCAAAAATCAACTATCAATCTACGGGGAACACAATGTGCTCAGCAATCAGCAAGTAAAATGAGCATTGTAGCTTCAATGTCCGTAGAGATTTGATGCTACGCAGTTGAACACACAATACACCACGCTCGCCGGTCGCAATGCGGGAAGTCAAACTCACCATCCACATCTCTGGCGACCACGGGCGGCTTGCGGCGTCGGGGAGGAAGCTCTCGTTGACCACCTCCCACGCCTCCTCCACGAGCTGCTCGTTAGTCACCGCCTCGGCCCTCACCTCCTCTACCATCGCCGCGCCCCCGTTCCGGCACACCTCCGTGGGCTGCGCCGCTGACGCCGCGAAAACCGCGCCCACGGCGTTGCCAGAGATGAGAGAGAGGGAGACGGCGGCCGCGGCCGCAGCGGCAGCCGCAGCCGCGCGGAGAGCGTCGGGGAACGGCAACCCGCACGGCTGCGGCCTGGGCCCGCGACCGGGGCCGGGGCCGGGGCCAGGGTTTGCTCGCAACTGCGGCGCCGGTGCCAGCGGCAGGTAGGAGAGTGGCCGCATGGCGGCGCGGCTCGTCACGTGGCCGGAGAGCGTAAAGCCTGCCCTCCGGATTTTGAGTGGATGATTTTGATGATAGGTAGGGGCTGACTGCTGAGCAGTGGTGAGGAAGAGGAATTTTGGTCTGCTTTTTCTTTTTTCATGAATTATTTACGCTTTATTCTTCTCCTCTCACTTTCAACAAGAGCAGCGAGTTACCATATTGGAGCAATTTCAAGAGACTTTCTATATATTTTTTAATTCCTAGAAATAGAGATTTTAATAAACTCTAATAGATTCTTTATCTTTATTTGATTATTATTTAAATATAGTCATCTTCGATTCTAGATTTCTCATTAGAAAAAAAAACAATAATGATTGTCAAAATGCACATAAGATATAGGGAAACTGTTGAAGAACGGGAAGATATAGAAAACAATTTCATGCAAATAACTCTCCAAAGCAATTTATTTTGAAAGACTCTTTGAGATGCTCTAACATCTCCATAAAGAGCAATTTACCGAATTTCCTATCCCTTCTTTCCAATATTCGACTATAGGAGATCTTTCAAAAGCGATTTCAATACATAAGAGTGTTGTGTTGCAACATATTACTCAGAATTAACCATTATATATATTCTTACACATGGAGCCCGCGTGTTATGGTCAAATCCACTTCTCTTTTTTTCTCGAGCATATGAGGAAAAATAGTCGTCAACTATTTGTAGCCTGGTCGGTGGCACGAGGTGCAGCGACAATGGTGACGGGGTGTGGCTGTTACACAAGGCACGGGTGCGGCGCCCGGTGGACATCGGTTGCTCCTGAGGCACAGATGTTGTGGCTAGTGGGCTGCTACGCGAGGCAGGGGCCATCTTGCAAGTGGTGACCGAGTTAGCATTTTCAAAACTTCACTTGCATCTTACCGCACCACTCGATCTAAAACATATTCATTGTTAGATCACACAGCAACACTAGATACCTCTGTATTTGTAACGAGTTTTTTCTTCTTAACAGTACCATTATCCATCATAAACCTGGTCATATCAATCTTTCTAATAACCCATGTTAGTTCACTATTATCTTCACTCAATTACCGACACCCAAAATGATTCTTACGCCATTTTATATTTGTGGAGTGTGGTGAACTTATCCAGTTGAAACTCTTACAAAACCCATTTCAAAATACAATTCCTAACTTTGTTTTGGTCTGTTAAAACCTTTTGGCCAGTTTTGTAGAACTTATATCCAATTTTCACGGGTGTAGACTTCCTGAAGACACGATTCTTTCATTTGGATTACAAATTAGGTGATATGTTTTAATCGTCTCGACAAGAGGAACAATTATAAAATCCAATTTACAGACTTAACAAAGTTAGAAAACCAAACGATCAGGCAGCTGGCATCATCCCATTTTAGGCTCAGTGCCCAGTGCTCAGTGCCCACCACCTAAAATCCTTTCCTTTGGAGTGAAAGTGTGTGCCCGAACGAAACAAGACGGAAAAGAATCCCACTGATTTCCCGCGTTACACTAGCACGCAAACAGGAATCCGAAAGGACCAATACATCTCGTACGCGGTACGCCCATCCTTCCCTGACAAGGTGTCCCCCAAGGTCATCCTGCTTGTGAAGATAAGAAGTAGATAATAACCCGTCGCCACGTTGGTCAGACGTTGTATGACACGTAGGGTCAGGGAATAATTGGCCCACATGCTAAGCCTCGGGGCGGAACTTTTCCGTCCTTCGTCCTGTTCGTTTGTCAGTCAGGTCCTGTTTAGTTTCACCTAAAATCCAAAAGTTTTTGCATAGTATCTATCACATCGAATCTTGCGGTACATGTATGGAGTACTAAATGTAGACGAAAAAAAAACTAATTACATAGTTAGGTGAGAAATCGCGAGACGAAACTTTCAAACCTAATTAGTCCATAATTAGACACTAATTACCAAATACAAACAAAAGTGCTACAATACCCAAAACCAAAAATTTTTGCCAACTAAACAGACCCTCAGTCCAAATTAGTCAGTCAATAATATTTTCCTCTCATAAAATATTAACACAAACTAATCTAAATCAGCACCAGCACCAACCAGCGAAAATACCCCCTTGTTTGCGTTGCAAGAGTACACCACTCCTGCTGCATGTTACACCTACGTGACGTATACGTACCCACTGAAGCACGGTGACCACGTATGAGCCCGAGGAGAGTGGGCCCATGATGTCAGCGTGGGGGCGTCGACGTGTGACCTCAGGGGATCAACGCGCCAGCGACAAGTGTGCCGGATAGAGAGGAGGGAGAGTGGGGTTGCGCGGACAAATGAGAAATTATTTTTTAATCCATTTCTTCTCGGCCGCTGCTCATAGAGGTATATAAAGGTAGTCGAGGGCGAGGCAGGGAGGGTTTTGGAATTTGGCCACCGTTTGCGTTGCGCTTGCGTGGGTGGGGAAGGAGCAGGCGGCCAGGCGCAGAGCCGCAAAAGCAGACGCGGAAACAGCCCAGGCCCGAGCGCGCCGAAGCGGGGAGGCGACGCCGCTGCACTACCGCTCTCGCCCGGTCAGCGATTTGCCGCCTCGCGGTCGCGGGAGCCAGTTTTGGCGTCGGCGTCGGCGGCGTTGGCGGGGAGTTCCCGGAAAGGGGTTCCGGTGAGGATGAGCGGCGGCGGCGGCGGAGGGGGAGCCAGGGGACCGTCGGGGCCCGTGCCGGTGTCCGCGAGGAAGCTCGTGCAGGGGCTCAAGGAGATCGTGAACCGTCCCGACGCGGAGATCTACGCGGCGCTGCGGGAGTGCGACATGGACCCCGACGAGGCGGTCAGCCGCCTCCTCTCCCAAGGTCACATCTCGTGTCACTCCCCTTCTCCTCACCGTTTCGGTGTGCAGGCTCGGCCGTTACTGCAGGGTGTTCGCGTGCCTGACTGTATTGGATGAGTGCGCGCTGGGGAGTTTGTCTATAGCGTCGGGTTATCAGGAACCGTGCTTCCTCTTGCCCTTCTACTTGGGGATTTTGCGGCGATTTGCTACTGCTCTGCTAGTATTCAGGGGCGACTGTGCTGCACGCTAGTGGCAGCCTGTCAGGACTGACTAGAATCTCCGTTTCGGATTCGATTGATTTTTGCGAAGATTTGGTTCAGGCCTTTGGTTTGGAAGTTTTTGGAATTGTTTGCAGTGTGAAATTCAGTACTGTTTTCAGTGCTTATTACTTGTGATTCTCAGTTCATTTGCGACTCACAGTAATTGTAGAAAATAAAACTTGGTCCTTTACCATTTTGGTGGGTTACTGTTACTAGATTCTCCGTTTCGGATTCGATTGGTTTTGTGAAGATTTGGTTCAGGTCTTTGGTTTGAGAGTTTTTGGAATTGTTTGCAGTGTGAAATTCAGTACTGTTTTCAGTGCTTACTTGTGATTCTCAGTTCATTTGCGACTCACAATAATTGTAGAAAATAAAACTTGGTCCTTTACCATTTTGGTGGGTTACTGTTAAGCTTCTGGGACTGTAAGGAGGAGGCATATGGTTGTCTTCATTCATGAACTCGAATGAACTGGAACAGTATGTTCCCTTGTGCGTTCACAGTGTTTGATGGCTTAAAACTGTTTAGAGCTGCAGTAATGGATCTGTCAGATGTTTGCATAAGGAAATAGGATAGTTCAATTTTTCTCCCGTGTTTAGGCATTATAAAATGGATTGGATTGGCTGAAGGATGATAAAACACGTGAACGTCTGGGAGATGCAAAAAAAATAGCTCAACTGGTTAGAGGGCAAGGAAAGGTGAAGCCATTGAGTGAATACAACAGAGGCTCTAAGAGCTCTGGTTGTTTGGGTCTTGAGTTTTGTCAAACAACAACAACAAAGCCTTACTGGTCCCAACAAAGGTGGGTTGGCTAAAATAAGAAAATAAAACCAGAATGACATGTCTAAACTTAGCTTGTCAGATACAAAGGATATTAGTCCTCTATCTTACTTTTGAACTTTACAGTCTGATTTCTTTCATCTCAGGCAGAGGATGAACTTGCACATGTCTTGTAGACTCTGTTTACTTTTGGAACGAGTGTCAACATGACAACCTCTGTCTTCTCAGGTTAACCGTGTGCTTCAACATGCCAATAATATGATATAGATTCCATTAAGATGATCATGTTGTCTTTATGCACGAGCTTAACTTTGTCAGACAGACCCCAATTTATGATTTTTAAATTATTATTATGCATGGACCTGGATTTGCTTTATAGGTCTGGTTTCTTGTTTTTGTGTTTGGTACTGAAAGAACGAATTGGTGATTATGGTCTCAGATTCCATGTTGAGTTACATTCTTTCGTGGTTCATGAAGTTAATGATCTGTATTAGCATCTGCTGTCACTTTTGTTGTCAGAACCGCCTTGAGTTTGTAACTCGCAATTTTACGAGAACTAATGAAAATTGTGAGAGATGGTTAGCTGGAATATTATCTTAATGATTGTTTTAGTAACTGCATGAACGTTTGTTATATTGGTCACTGACTGCTGAATACCTTATTTTCATGAAAGACTAAGGGTTTCATGAACCTTGGGGATGCCTTGCGGTAGCTACTTTGTTTTGTCCCAAATCGCTCTATTTTAGTTCATGTTGTCCCATTTAACCTGGTGCAAGTCTGATAAGTAGTGACACTGGTGGCATCACTGTGCATGGTTCGGTTAGGCCCTTGGTTGCTTTGATTCTGACTAAGAACTGTTTGAACTGGGTAAAGTTATCTGTTAAGGGTAGAATTTGCTGTAATTTAGTTGCAACAGAATGCAATTCGGATTTTGCCTGTTGTGGAAATGTTTTATATCTCGTGCGACAAGTTAATATTACCTATTATGCATTTTTAAACACTGACCCCTCTTATCCTTACTGTTCCCAACTTTATGAGGGAAGTCGGAGAATGGATTCCAACAAATGTTTGAATTACATGGGCATATTTCTAAAATTATCCATCACAATTTGTATAGATGAATTTTGGTATGCTGGTATTGCAGTTGAAAAGAGTTCTTTCTATTGCTCCATTCAATATAAAACAATTTTGATTTTTCTTGAGAAAATATACACCAGTTTTTGTACAACAGCAACATAGAATTAGAATTGGTTTGTCGTTTTTCATTGTTCCAGCTATTCACTCGTATATAGCTCACATATTGTTGATCTTTCTCCAGATACTTTTCAGGAGGTAAAGAGCAAGCGTGATAAGAAAAAGGAGGTCAGTCGAGTATGATCTTTATTTCAATCTGCCAATGCTCTTGGTAATTTCAGTTTGCCTGATAGCTAACTTGTTTTTTGTAACATTTGAGGATTCATTTTATTCAGTTTTGCCTGATAGCTCTAGTCAACTGTTCTCATAAAAAGAGGTTGTAGCTTATCTTCAGTTACCCATATTATTTTTTTGTTGGATATATAGAATCAATAATGATTGTTTAATATACATATACCATGTGTTTAATATCAAGGCTGGTGATTAACTCTGTGCTAATCTTGTGTTTAGTATCTCTTGATTAGCTTTATTGTGTCTTGCTTTAATCTTGAGAACTTACATCAGTATTTACTGAAATTTCGCATAGGTTAAAGAAACCCCAGAGCCAAGATCTCGAGGAGCAAGTAACTCCAGTCGATCCAGTAGAGGTGGTGGGGACCGTGCTGGACGAAGCAGTTCAGTTCAGTCTGGATCCAGTGGCACTGGTATTTTTTTTTTTTAATAAGGAAGTTCCACTCCATGAGTTTTGGCATTTGGCCACTCAGTTTCTCATCTTCCCTTTTCAACCAAACCAGATTATATGGCTTCAAGGTCATCAATATTGGGACCTGCTGTGCCAGCTACGAATGCCATGCAGAAGCCAACAGTTCCTAGGTAACGAATGTGAGCTGGAAGTTCTGATATATCTGATTGTTTTGTATGTACTAGAGATAACCTCTATGCTTGCTATTCTGTTGCAGTCTGTCCACAAACAAAGATGTGGTTCCTAATGGATCAGTTGGAGCACCACAATCATCATCTGGTTTTCAGCACAATTGGTTTGGGGTGCCAGGTCAGATGTCAATGGCTGATATAGTGAAAATGGGAAGGCCTCAAGTGAAGTCTTCTGGCAAGCCTATGGTTGCAGCAGACACATCATATGCTGGTCAAACCCCATCTTTATCTAGCTCTGTAAACCAGAACTCGAAACAATCTGCAAGCACAGCCCTACCAACTAATTTTGACCAGGGCTTTCCTGCTCTCCCAGACCCTATTCCACATACTGTGAACTCTAGTCATGGTTCTGCTGGGAACAACCATACACATGAGAATGATTGGTTTCCTCAGGATGAGCCGCCATCTGGAGCTCAGTCCACAGGCATTGATGCATCTGGTGACCAGTCGCTATCTGTGGCATCACTGGACCAATCTGTGTTGGTTGCCGATGCTGCTTACTCACAAGAAAATTCTCATGCAGAAGAGAACAACTCCACTGCAGCTAAAGCAACACTGTCTTCCGAAAGACACTTGGAAATTGTGGAGGAGGACAATCATTTCAACGATGGGTTATTGCAGAACTCAAGTGCTTACCAGGCTCAAGTGCATTCCTATGTTGATAATGAAGGTTTGTGTTAAGAAACTCTGCCAGTTTAGGTCTCTTCTCCAGAACAGAATCTAGGAGCTCTATCTTTGGTGTCCAGTGGGCACCAAGCAAATTTATACTCCCTACATTCCAAATTATAAGACATTTTGGCTTTTCAAGATTCCTAGCTTTTGCTATGCACTTAGATATACTCTATGTCTAGATGCATAGTAAAAGCAATGTTTCTAGAAAAGTCAAAACGTCTTATAATTTGGAATGGAGGGAGTATAATATAATCAACTTAGTTTGAAGAATACCATTTATTGTTTCTACCAGGCTATAATTTCAGTGTGGCTTTGCCTTTGCACAAGAAACCCAAATTGACTATTTGTTTAGTTTTACATTTTACGCCTTGTCCCTTCTGATGTCTTCAAGTGCTACTGTGCTAGTGTATATTAAGATTGAGAACATCATCATGGAAAAATCATGTTAAACTTTGAACACAACGTCAGATGCAACCGTTACACTGTTTGTTTTATTAAGAAATACATTCCTGTTACTAAATCGATTGTAATCGCGATATAATGTCATTGAAAAGTCATGTTATTTGTATATTTTTAGGTGCCATTTTTTCCTCACACCAAGATCAAGGTTGTTGCATTAGTGTCCTGAAAGATAGAAGATTTGAGACTTGTACTTGGATGGAAAAATTTGTATTTGTGTTGTCTTAAATACATATATGGTCGATAATATTACAGTTTCAACAATATGCAATAGCATAACTGTGTCATATAGTATGTATCATGTCGATATGATTCGATACTTGAGAGATGTTTGGTCATACATACCCAAAGTTTGTGGATTGTTTTGTATGTACAGAGCAAAATCTCAGCCCACAGAATTTAGCTGTGAGCTAATTATTCTTGTCCATGGAGGCTATGATGACTTAAGCTGGTTTAGGCTGTTATGCATGATTGTTGTCTTATTGGCTCACAGATTGCTGTGACACAAATGAGCCACAATATAAATTGTGCCTGCAAATTCTAAACATGGACTCTTTGACTATGCTTTTGAACCTTTTCTGTTTGTTTCACAGTTGGCATTTCCAATGTTGATGCAGAATCAGCTGCGGCAAACTTTCAGCATTTAAGCCTACAGAATGAAGATATAGCTGCAACCAAGTCTGCTGAAGATAACCCTGCGGTTATACTCCCTGATCATCTACAAGCTGCAAATGCAGACTGTGCTCATTTAAGCTTTGGTAGTTTTGAATCTGGTGCCTTCTCTGGCTTGCTTTCATCAAAGGTCCCAAAAGGCAGTTTGGAGGACGAAGAGGTGCATATTCCAGATGAATCCCCATCAGTTAATCGAATAGATGTCAGGTGAAAACTTTTTCCTGCAAATTTGTGATTCAAAACATGAGATGTACACTCTTCTGATGAGGTTGCTTTGCAGGAATCAAGATTACTATGACAACGATGCTCTAAATTCTTCAGCAAATGAGGATGTTGAGACAAGAATTGGTACTAACCTGGATAGCATTGATGGACCTTCAGTTTCAGAGTCTGATGTACTGAGGCAGGGGGGCATAGATGTGCCTGGTCTTCAATATGACCTGCCATCAGTTTCAAGTCATGCATATTCAAACACAACACAGCCAAGTACAATGGAAGACCCACAAGGAAACACACATGCACAACCCCTTTCCCATTTTTCTGGCTTGCTGGTACATTTCTCTTTTTCTCAGAAGAGACAGGATCACTGACAGTTCTATTATCATGAAATAAGAGCTATAAACTTAACTTTCACGTATATAAAACTTGTCCTTTTGATTTGTTGCCTTGATCACAGAAGCATTAAGTTGGCCAATATTGAGCTTTGATGATTTCTGTTCTTCGATGAAGTTACAAATTTATCTGTTTAGCTTCGGTTGAGGAAGAAAATAATAGCGTGGATGTTCAATAAGTCTTTGCTTGCTATTTCTATTGCATTAATTGCTTTAATGGTTTTGGGGTCTTTTTTTTATAACAAATATCCAAACTGGCACATATATGGTGTATGTGTTGCTATGTTATGTGCCAGTGTAATGCCTGGGTCCAATCTGTAGGCAGCTGGGCATTAAGTTGTTTGACCTGTATGAGGCATACTATAATATCAGTAATTCTGAACTCATACTGAAGAATGTAGCTACTTTGGTTTCAAATTTCAATCAATGTTTTTAAGGCGTCGCTTTGGCGTCGCCTAATCGCCAAGGCGCTACAGGCGGGACGACTTGGCGGACGACTCGCCTCAGATTGGTATGGCGTCCGCCTTACTACCATGGCGTCCTGAAGTCGTCGATTTGGCATCCGATTCGTCAAAATCGAGCAAGGCGGGCGCCATACGGGGATGGCCACGGTAGGAAAACGCGGGCGCGGGAGAAAGGACGGGGAAAGTGCAGGCACGCGGGAAAGCATCGCGCGCGCGGGAGATTAGGCGGAATCGAGCAGACAGGGGCGAGGAGAAGGCAGAATCAAGTGGAATCGACGAGGAGACGGCGGAATCGAGGGGAGTACTTATGTAATTGACAGATTACTTATTGACTCAAATGTGCTCCAACAACGCTCACAACCTGAAGCCGAAGCACAAAGCCCAACAACACGTTTTGCAAATCTTTGAAGCTCTACGGCTTTGCCACCCTCGATTCCGCCGTCTCCACGTCGATTCCGCTTGATTCTGCCTTCTCCTTGCTGCTGTCTGCTCGATTCCGCCGTCTCCTCGCCGCCGTCCGCTCGATTCCGCCATCTCCTCGTCGCCGTCTGCTCGATCTGGAAGGGGACGGTGGCAGCTGTAGATCTGGAAGGGGAGCAACGAGGGAGGGGAGCAAAGCAGCGGAGAGACGAACGGAGATGGCAGAGCAGCAGAGGGAAGCGGCGCCGCGGAGGGATGAATGGAGGCGGAATGAGTGGTGGAGAACGAGAGAGAGCCCTGGAGGGGATTAGGATAAGCCACGCCAGGAGGGGGACGGGCACATGGGCCGCCTGGTGGGCTGGGCCAGCCCACTTCTTACTCCTCTTTTCTTTTTCCTTTTTTCCTTTTCTTTTTTCTTCATCATCTACTGCTCTAAGTTGCTGTTTTAAGTTTTTCTTAAATTCGTAAGGCGTCGCCTCGCCTCACGATTTAGTCGCTTTAGTGTAAGGCGGTAGTCACTCGCCACGCCTCGCCTTACCGCCTTAAAAACATTGATTTCAATACATTATAAATAGTATTAATGTGCCAAAAATATGTGTCTGCCTTCTCAAGGTTGCGCGGAGGATATTTACGTATATTCCATTGGATGTTGCTATCAAATTGATTTACATGTTGCCTCATCGGTACTTAAATGTCCTAATGTTTTGTTTGAATACCGTAACTTGAAAATTTGAATTAAAACTCGGTATCAGATTTCTTACAATGATGACAGCAGTGAAATGGCATTTATTGTTTTACTATCTTGGCTAGTTTTATGGTGTTGTTTTGTCCCCTTTTCATAGTCCTTAATTCCTTATTTTTGTTCTTCTGATATCTTCTTGCAGCAAGCAAATACTCTACCCAATAACTTGTTGGGGTCAAATCTTACCCCTCTTCGGGAGTTTGACTTCTCACAGTTGCTTCAGACACAGTCAGCTACAAAGTATAACCCATCTGTTGCACCTAATAATCTGCCAGCAATCTCCATGCAAGAGGTATTCAAAATTTTAAAATTTTGATATGTTTCTGTATATCTTATCCATTGTGTAGTACAATGGAACATATGGTGCAAGCTTTTGAGACATTTCTGTTTTATTTTTTTTATTTTTTTGTGCACAATCCAAATTTCCAAGTGACAAGAAAAGATTAAGACCCCCTCTTTAGTATGGTATTCAAGTTCTGGAGAACTCATTGTGATACCTCTTCATTTCTGTATGTTACCGATTCGTATTTGCGGAGATGAATCACAAGAGAAAAATGATGTGGCAACGTGGTAGCCCTTATTTTGATGTCCATGGAAGTTTGTGGCATGTTTATAAAATGAATCATGATTATGTAACCTGTCAGTTTGTACTTTTATGTCAGCTAGATGGATTACTCATTTTGGTGTCATTTGTGTGGTGATTTGGTATACATGTTGATGTACTGTTGCTTCAATTATTTCATTGCTGCATTTCACTTTTTTGGAACTTTCTCCAGACTTTAAAACCAGGAGGCTTCCCCAACACTCAGTCTACGCAACATGTTCCCAGTACAAGCATTCCGTCGGGTCTTCCTCTCCCACAACAATTGCCTGTATACTCTCAGCCAACTCTGCCTCTTGGGCCTTTTACCAGCCTGGTTGGCTATCCATATTTGCCTCAGAACTATTACCTACCATCAGCGGCCTTCCAGCAAGCGTACTCAAGTAATGGGCCTTTCCATCAATCTGCTGCTCCTGCTGTGCCTGGAGCTGGTATGAAGTATTCGATGCCACAATACAAGAGCAGCCCTCCTGCTTCGAGCCTACCACAGCCATCATCACTCTCTGGTTATGGAGGGTTCGGAAATGCAAATAATATCCCTGGAAATTTCAACCTAAATCAGGGTGCTCCCTCTGCGCTCACGACTTTGGGATTTGATGAAGCTTTAGGCACACAATTCAAAGACCCCAATCATTATGCAGCTCTACAGCAGGTAATGATGACACGATGCTCTGGTTGATCTTCTGGTACCCTTGGTTGGATCTGTAGCCTTCTTTTGTTGCATGTAGTTTTCGTGTTTCTGTTTTTGTTTTGGAGGTTCATTTCATTCTGAAGTGTGCTTTTTTTTCCATGTCAGAGTGATAATTCGGCAATGTGGCTTCATGGAGGCGCTGGTTCAAGAACAGTTTCTGCAGTTCCGCCTGGTAACTTCTATGGTTTCCAGGGCCAGAGCCAGCAGGGTGGCTTCCGCCAGACACATCAGCCCTCTCAATACGGTGGTCTTGGATACCCAAGCTTCTACCAGTCGCAGGCCAGTCTGCCACAGGAGCACCCCCAGAACCCCACCGAGGGAAGCTTGAACAATCCCCAGGGGGTTCCATCCCAGCCATCGCATCAGCTCTGGCAGCACAGCTACTAAACCTTCTGTGCTCTCTGGGGAGATGCCTCTCTATGCTGCCAGGTTACCTGCAAGCCTTGGCATGCTGCGCCGTGAAGCGAGCAGACTAGCTGAGCTGCCGTCTTGAGCGCTGCTGAGCAGAGGACGATCCATCCAACAGCGATGAAGTGTGTTGTTTTTCTTTTTCCTTTTTTTCCCTTCCAGTTGTGTGTTCCGAAACTAAATTAGGCAGTCGTGGTTTTTACTTGATAGCGAGTGGTGGTGCAGAGGTGCTATCGTTGTAACGGTAAAGTCCTAACTCATCTAACAGATCTGCTTCTCATACACCTGTAATGTGCCATTTTGTTCTTGATGCCTAGAAGCTTCTACGTGTTGCAGCTACACTTGATATGCATGTATGCTTATGAAGCTGCAGTCCTGGTTTGCAGAATCATACAGGATGAGAGTGGGTGCTGCTAGCCCGCTACAAATTTCCCATGGGTTTTGCTCGCTTTGAGGAGCTTCGAAGATCCCAGCAATATTGAAGTCACCAATACGGTGGACTCAACTGGTACCCTAATTATGCACACATGCCATGCAAATGTTGACTACAAACCACTGCAGCAATTTATAGACCTGCTATATTGTTCTCGAGCCAGTTTTGGATTGGCAGAAGTGTCATGCTGTCCCAAGGAAATTGAGCTGTACTGTACCTGTATGCATTAGGGTTCTTGCATTTAAATTCCAGGACTATTCTGACGAAAAAACCTCGTCAGAAATTTGGAACACCCTTCCTTTTCCATGTTATATAAGAATTGATAATATGCTCGTGGAACAATTGCAAAACTCAAATGAGAACTAGTGGTACTAATAGCTCGATGTTATCCCCGCAAGCAAGGTATTGCAGACGATTCAACCTTTATGAGCAAGTACGACACTTGGTCCTATCACTAAGTACTGTAAGATCTCAATTGTCGAACTGATGGTTTTTGTGGCTGATAAGCCGGTTGATGCACTGTACCATGACTAATAAGCCGGGCTGATAAGTTCAAGTGAACAGGGCTTTAAGCTGCCAGGTAAAAAACAGGGCTTTAAGTCGATGGCCTGTCTTAAAAGAAAGTAGCAATGGCTCGCTATGTTTCCTCGTCCATGTGTTGTTTCAAACTGCCAGGTAATAACCAAGTATAATGATGGATTCAACGTCCATCTCAAGGAAATTACTACCAAACTACAATGAGCTATTGAAGTACTATTTTTCAGCAAGTTAAACTCATACTCAGGTGAGGTGACCTCGAAATTTGACTTCTCCAACGCTGTATACATTTTTCCCAAGCAAATACAAGTTACATATTTTGAGTGGAGTACATAAAACAGGACGGCTTGGGTCGACGGATCTGAGTTACTTCTGAGACATTAGCTATGTAGCTTTCTTCCTTATAATGCCTTCCAAAGTGAGATCATTGATCTTCGCAGCAAGGACGAAATCATTACTTGTTAAACCTCCTATGAACACAATAAATGATCAATACCAGAGCAAAGGCATGCCTCAGTTTTTAATAGAAAGTAAGTTGGCTGGGGTTTCCAGCTCACAATTGAAGTGCAATTGCATAACATTGACACCCAAAACAAGCTCTAACAGACACCTAGTGCTAAACCATTAGCAGTAGTAGATAGACTAAAGTAACAGTTCAGTTTGATCCTATAATCCTACAGTATATCTCCATTATTGTGAACTTTAGCAGAATAAAGGATTCAATATAAACAAGTGATTTTATCATTTTTAAGCTTTAGCATACCTTTCCCTGGGCAAATTTGTAATTGCAAAGTGCTGTCCTGAGCTTCATACTTTTCTCTTAAAAATTTACATATAATGTTTGATTGGTTCAAGGTGTTTAAAAACTTATATAAATATAACAAAGCAAAAGAAAAAGAAAAAGCATATGGATCTGGTTATTTGGATGGGAAAATTGCAAACTGATTGATAACAATGTCCAAATCCCTGAAGGAATAAATTTAATGATGGGAAAATTGCCTGGTCATCAGACTTATTGTGACCGAGGTGATGTCTAGTTTTGGAATGAATAATTTGAAAAGAAGCTAATAAAAGTGATTTGCCTAAGTGCCACATAAATCAAAATAAACTAGAAAAAAAGAACCACATGAATCACTTACTGACAGAATGAGTCCAAACATCAATCTTCACGTTATTCCAACCAACAAGATGAAGATCTGGATGGTGACCTGGAAAAGGCATATCTGTTTGAACATAATGTCCTCACATTGTTATAAAAGAAAATTTCGCACCAATTTATTGGATTCTATGTGGATAGCAAAACTTACGACCAGTTTTTGGATGGTTTCACACTTTCACCAAATATGAAACTTTCACAGCATGCTATACATAATTGTCACGTGTAACTATGAAACTAGAGTAAACACCCTGCACAGTACATTGATGCAAAGTAGCTTCGTTCTGACATCTTGTATTTATAAAGGAATAGTATCTCATGAAATGTTTCAGTTTCCTTCATAGGAATTCTAGAATAATTCCCCAAATTTTACTGGAGTAGGGTTCGTGGCTCTCCTGTCCATTATGCTGTTCAGATAACAGTCATAGGAGAACAGGCAGTTAGACAACTACATTCTACAGATAAAACGGTTCTGAGTTGCAGTTTTTTGGATTGATTCTAATTGTACAATATAAGTGAAAGAGTTGACTATTGGCCAAAGAAATACCTTCTTCCTCAGCGATAGCAGCAACAAGTTGAAAGAACTCAAGTCCCTTAACAAAGTTCTTCACCTTCCATGCTCTATGTAATTTCAGAATACCACCTTCAGTGATCAGTTCCCAACCATTCACCTGTTTTCAGGTATCAGCCAATGGAGTAGGAATTAGGATGATATTAACCAAATTTTCAAAAATATACAAGATCAAGACCTGTTCAAGCAACTCATTAGCAGAATCTTCTGACATGGGATGTAAATCCTTAGAGTTGCATGGAACACAGCTTTTCATTGCTAATTCTGAAATAATAAAAATACATAGGATTATTTAAAGAGTGTGAGGCGGAGACATACCATTAAAGAGTTAAAAAAATCTGGTCATAGTCAGAAGAATATGATCCTAAGTTTCTAACATATTTTTTTTCTTATGAAGAATAAAATAAAATGACTTTGGGAGTATAAAAGCTTTGCACCATATGTAATTAACGCTTCACTATTTGTTCACCATGGCCATAAGAAGGTACCCTAATTATAACTCAGTAAGTACGATCATACGTGCATGTTTATGATGTGCTTATCATTGTCTTGGCTCTTTTACATTTCAAAGAATTCATTGAGAAGGATTACTTCAAATCTGAAAACAAAATCACTAAAAGGATAGATAACATGACAAAATATAGAATGGTGTGACTTTTCCATGTCTTACAATGTCATCAGTGATAGATAAGATGCTCACACAACAACATTAATATGTATAAAATTGATGGAAGCATTAATGTATGCATCAAATCTGCGCAAGATGAATTTCAGTCAGTAAGAGGCAACTTTATAGAAACCAATGATATGAAGATGACCTTGACTCTCAGGGGAGCTATGGCACCCTCTTGCAGTCAAAATATTATTTTCGTCTTGCCCTGTAGTGTCCATTTGATAGAAAGGGCTGCATAAATAGTGATGTCTGCATTCAGTGAACAAAATATAAAAAGCACACACAGGATACGAAATAATACCATTTTCAGGGAGCTTGAACATAAGAGTCATAGGCTTCAAGGTGATTGGGTGGATAATCATGAGTTCAGAAAACCATAAGCACAGCTTTACAAACTTGGTTTCCTAGGTCAAATTTTACGTTGTTTTCATATCTAGCCATGCATATAACAGGCATGAAAAGGGCACTTTTTGATTGAATAAAAATGTTTGCAAGGCTGTGTCTAATACCCCATCACATTTCTTAAGTAGCATACCAAGCAGTGTAGAGTACTTAAATACCAACCAAGTGTAACAACTCTTTGGTTCACTAATAGATCATCCTTTCTTGAGTGGGTTCTTTCAAAAAAATTTCCCTCGAAAGACCATTCTTTCAAGTTAATAATCTGATTATAGAACAAAAACACTATATGTTCCTGGGACATGAGCCAAATAGCATTGAACTAAATATAATAAAGTTTCATACAAAAAAAGTTCCTGTGATCCCACTTTCTAGAATTAACACAGCCTTCGCTAAAGTTCTTGCACCGGCATAGCAGTAGCCACTCGTAGGGCACGCAGGCGCACGCATATGCTGCGATGATGCTCAGAAAGTTGTAGGTAAAACGAGGATATACCGTACAGATCCAAGATACGAAGGCTTCCTGCGGACGAGAGGCCAGCGAGAAGCTGCCATTGCCTGCACGGCCAAGAGAGAGAGAGAGGCAATCAGTAGTGCCCGGGAGGTGTTTGATGATGTGCTTACACGGAGATCAGAGGAATCAACTCATGCGCACCTGGCCTACGTAGGAGCGCGAGAGGAGGAGACGCGCGTGCACCGTTGAGGCCCGGAGCATCGGTGGCTCCCGCGGCTTCGCCGGAGCCGGATCCGGAGAGGGAAAGCGGAGTCCGTTTTGCGTGGCGCCTGAGAGGAGAGACGAGAGGGACGGCAGGACACGGGCTGACGTCTGACGATTGGACGGACCCCGATGGAAACAGATCTGTGATTTAGGGCCTGTTTGATTGAGATCAGGCCTGCCAGGCAACACAGGTGGCTTTATATGATTATGATCCTTTGCTCAAATTTTTTTTGATTGTGATCCAAACAGGGCCTAGTTTGCTTGCGTCGGATTGGGCTGCATGGAGCGTAGCTGGGCCGACGAGACGAACGAATGCTTGTTCTGCAGCGTGTGCCGTCTGCATCTGATAGACGCACCAATGCAGTCGTACATCCCTTTGTGACTTGAGTTTACACTAGAGACTAGCTAGAGAATTGTCAGCAGCCGACTAGCACACACGAACGCCCTGACTCTTGTTTTTTGGCACCACCAACCCCCACAGTTGTCCCGGAGAGGACAAACAAACTTGTTGGTAGAACTTTGTATCTTTTCAGTACAAATACGTAGGGCACGATGAAGTCTTCACTTGTCATGCTTCGGGGTTCCTGAACCGTATGACACACGCTAGCATCTGTGTTTTAGTGTTTTTTTTTTGTTTCAGTCGGGAAGTTAAAACAAAACACTTTTGTTGTTTGCATTCAGTTTCCGCGCGTTGCGTGCCAGTATTCCTCCCCCGCGCATCGGCGCATAGCAAACTGCTTACTCCTAGCTGGCTAGCTAGTACTTTGAGCTCATAGAAACTGGTGCTCTATCTCAATCAAACGGCTCATCAAAGCCTAAGCTCAGTTCTTCCACTCCAACCACGTCACCATAATTTCTTTTAGAATATACACCAGTGTCCACGTCACTATAAAGTTGACCCACGTAGACGCCTGACTCCACTCTGCTCTCGCGATCCCCGTTCCTTCGAGCGAGAGCCCCCACCGAGCAGTGCAGCACGCCAGCACGGGTGGGTGGTTGCTCCTGCTCAGGTGAGTGCAGAGTTCTTCGCTTCGGAATTTGGGTTGGGCTTCACGGAATCGCAGGGTGATTCGAATCGAACAGACTTTAGCACTCGTGCTATCGATCTCGGTCAGTTTTGGTGGGTTTTGCGGCGGCGTTGGATTCTCAATCAAACCGAACCGCAATTCCGCCATTTTCAGTTCGCTTCTCTCGCAGTTTAGCTTTGGTGTTTCTGTTTTTTTGTTAGTGATCCAGTATCCAAAAATCTCCCCAAACTGGTGATCGGTTCGATCGTCTGTTGAGATTTTTCGTAAACCCTCCCGACTCGCTTTCGCCTTGATCATCAATTTTGCATTAATCGCTTCCTCATCTTAATTCGTCTTCCGATTCGCAGCTCGCCGTGCAGCCATGGGAACCGGTCGCGTCCCGCTCCTCCTCCTCTTCTCCGCCGCGATGATGCAGGCTCTCCTCCCCGCGCCGGCAGAGGGTGTGGTCCGCATCCCGCTGAAGAAGCGGCCCGCCGACAAAAACGGCCGCCTCCATGACGAGCGGCGCCGTGGCTTCCTCGGCAGCAACGCCGCCGCCGCCGCGGCCTCGGAGAAAGCCGAGGCAGAGGCGGAGGGGGACATCGTGGCGCTGAAGAACTACCTCAACGCGCAGTACTACGGCGAGATCGGCATCGGCACGCCGCTGCAGAAGTTCACCGTCATCTTCGACACCGGCAGCTCCAACCTCTGGGTGCCCTCCTCCAAGGCTCCAAGTGCTATTTCTCGGTGTGCATCGTGCACGGTGTTGGGTTCTGTGGTTGAGACTGTTTTACTAACTGTGTAGTTGTGTGTGTGGCTCTGAACTGAAGAGTGCCTTTTGGGTTTTTTGCTGCAGATCGCTTGCTACTTCCATGCGAGGTATAAGGCCAGCCAGTCGAACACCTATAAGAAGAATGGTTTGTGATTTCGGCCCTCCTTTTGTTTTGCGGAGATTAGTGGTGTATTTCTATATATATATATATATATATATATATATATATATATATATATATATATATATATATATATGATCTATCAATACTCTTTCAATGCCTCGTGTAGGTTTAGTGGCTGTTTTGAGCCGTTCCAAATTATAGTTCACTTAGGCTTTGTTCTAAGTTAAACTTCTCTAATTTTACCACGTTTTTAGAAAAATAAATTGATATATCCACGTTCAAATAAATTCTCTATCAAAATATATTGCATGAAGAATGGCACAACTAATTCAGAAATTTTAGCTAGATACTGATGTACATAAAGTATTTTTAAAGACATATTAGCTTAGATGTTTTTTTTTTCTTTTGGAAGCTAAAAATCGTAGTGTTTGTGTAGAACTATAAGACTTACTTGTCGATATCATCACTGCGCCATCTTGCAGGGAAGTCTGCTTCAATACATTATGGTACTGGTGCAATTTCTGGCTATTTCAGCCAGGACAGCATGAAAATTGGTGATGTTATTGTGAAAAAAACAGGTTTATTGTGTCACCATGTATACACTTGTTTTATGTTATCTGGTCATGTACATCCTTAATGTATGCTGATTTTGTTGCATTGTTCTGTTAGGATTTTATTGAAGCTACGAGGGAACCAAGCCTTACTTTCATGGTTGCAAAATTCGACGGCATTCTTGGGCTTGGATTCAAGGAAATCTCAGTTGGGAATGCTGTACCTGTATGGTGAGCAAGTAAATATATATGTAATGTCTGTCTGTTTGGTAATACCTAAGTTGATATGAATGCTCCCTTTGTGCATACCGTATGGTTACCATATCCAAATAGTGTCACTCCTTTTTTTTCTAACGAATTGTATTGAAAATCTGGTAACGATTACAGCTTGTATATTCGAACATCTCCCGATTTGTAGGTACAACATGGTTAACCAAGGTCTTGTTGATGATCCTGTTTTCTCATTCTGGTTCAATCGACATGCTGATGAAGGGCAGGGAGGTGAAATTGTGTTTGGAGGAATTGATCCTAGTCACCATAAGGGAAATCATACATATGTCCCTGTCACTAGGAAGGGATACTGGCAGGTTAACATCCGCTTCTGGTTTATTGTGTAACTATTAAACTTCAAACATATGCACTGGTAACTGGAAAGAGAAATACTTTTTGCTGACAACTTTGACCCATGAATTGATCTCTCATTTGCTTCCTACAGTTTGATATGGGCGATGTCCTGATTGGAGGGAAGTCCACAGGTGGGTTTGTCATTGCTTTCATTAAAATATACATGTATTAAACGCAGATTTTTGTACTTACTGTTCGCTTGGCTGATAAGCCAGGCTGAAAAGTATTGTTCGCTGATTTGTTGTGAGAGAAAAACAATATTCATTCGCTGAAAAAAGTACGGCTCATAAGACAAGCGAACAGGGATTTGTAATGCCTCTCTGTTTCATTAGGATTCTGTGCTGCTGGCTGTGCAGCAATAGCAGATTCTGGAACTTCGTTGCTTGCTGGTCCCAAGGTGTGTTGTGGACTTTGTTTGGTTTTGTTCTTACTTCTTAGAAAGGGAAATGGGTCTATTACATCTCATCCTGAGGGACTATTAACTTATAATTGCTTTATTTAATGAATCCTGATACCTATGGAAATGAATATGATTTCACATTTGTTATATTAAGGAAGTGAGCCTAGTCAACTGGTTAGGGTGGGAGGTGTGCATCTCAAACACCTAGGTCTGAGTCCTTTACAACCGAATTTGGTTGTTTACTTTCTTTTTAATGAGAAACACCTAGTTCCTCCTAGGTTGGATCTCATTTTACATTTCTGATATTATATATCTTATAACCAAAGTGGCCAAGTGATTTGCAGAAGTTTGACTACTATGTTTTCTGCTTAAAGGCGCCTTTTTAGCACATAACGTGTGCACTGCAACAGTCCAAGAGGTCGATTTTTTTACTTAGTGCTTCTCGGTTGTTACAGTGTCATACTAATGAGCTAGCGCGACAATAATATGTAAAATATCTACACTGTGATTGATAAGATATTTCTATGCTAGTAGGTCCATTGCATTTTTTTAATTTAATCTCTCTATGTTTAGTGAGTTATGTGGATATGCAGGCCATAATTACTCAGATAAATGAAAAGATTGGTGCTGCTGGGGTAGTCAGCCAAGAATGCAAGACAGTTGTTTCTCAATATGGGGAAAATATCCTAGATCAGCTATTAGCAGAGGTTTGCACATTTATAAAGCATGCAATCCTCAAGCTCATGTCATAGTTTTATAGTTTTATTATTATTCATATAATAGGCATGTCGAAAGGATGCTAAATTTTCTCTGGGCTAACGATGCAGACACAGCCAGCAAAAATATGTTCTTCGGTTGGTCTATGTACTTTTGATGGAACTCATGGTGTTAGGTATGGGTTGTGAAAAGTAATAATTACTTGAATTTGAGTGCTGCATGATGATCAAATATCATAGAAAGGGCGAACTGCATGGATTTACTGTTCCATCTATTTGTGTGCTCTCAGATTGTGTGTCTGTGTCTTGATTTCTGAGATGTGACTTATAGATGCTTTGTGTGGTTGTACCCAACAACGCATTGCTGATATCCAAAGTGTGGTGGATGATGAAGCTGGGAAATCAAATGGTCTCTTCAATGATGCAATGTGCAATGCCTGTGAAACAGCTGTTGTATGGATGCAGAGCCAACTTGCACAGAACCAAACTCAGGGTCTAGTGTTGCAGTACATTAATCAGGTTAGTTTCGTAGCTTGTAATACCAATGGAAGAATCAAACTTAGTACAATTCTTCGAATGTTGCAAAACTGGTTCAACTTTGCAGCTATGTGAACGGATTCCTAGCCCTATGGGAGAATCATCTGTGGACTGCAGCAGACTTGCATCCATGCCTGACATTGCCTTCACCATTGGGGGCAGAAAGTTTGTGCTCAAACCAGAACAAGTACTGCTTCTTCACTACTACTGTTACCTTGTTTCTATGTGGAAACTCCATCCAGATTGCTTATCAAGCTTAGCGAGCA